ATTATTATTATTATTATTATTCAGCTATCTTTTTAAAATATCTGGATCTTCATTTTGTTCTACATAGTTTTAGGTCTCAGTACCTTTTTTGTCTGAACTCTGTAGTTCTGCCCGGCAACCTGACTCGCTCCAGCGGTGCGATGATCAAACGAGAGGAGAGGGAGGATGATGAGAACTGCTCCATTACAGACAAGTCAGAGGACGAGAAGAAAGACACGAAGGCCCGCCTCCGGACAAGGTTTCTAAAATTAGTAAATAAATCACAATAGTTGTTTATTTTTGTAAGCTAGCTGGATTCTAAAGAAAACAGTTTTTAAGCTTTTGATTTGTTTGGTATAAACACTGAAAGAAATTAAGCAGCAAGAGCTATTTGAGGTATTAAAAGAATAAATTTGGTAGCTGTGAAATTTATCACCTCAATAAATAGAGTAAAACTTGCCTTGTAGTGGAAACAGAAGCATGTTGTTTGAAACTGACCCTCACCCTGAAAGACAAGTGTTTGTCGTTAGATGACACTGGTGTGCCGATGTTAATTAGAAACTGGAGCATTTCTAGAACTGAACTGTACCCACACTGTTGTTTCCTTCCTTCCTCGTCTGCCACACACTCTCTCAGTAGTCTAGATGATTTGGACGATGATGATGACGAAGATCTACCAGTGGAGGTCAAGGCTGAGCGGGAGAAAGCACGGAGGTTGGCAAACAACACCCGCGAGCGGCTCCGCGTGCGGGACATCAACGAGGCTTTTAAGGAGCTGGGCCGCATGTGTCAGCTCCATCTGAGCTCTGAAAAACCACAAACCAAATTGATCATACTGCAACAGGCTGTTAATGTTATAATCAACCTGGAGCAACAAGTCCGAGGTCAGTGGGGGTCCAGGGACAAAGGAAGTGGAGGGGATGGGCTTCTTTTCACAATAAAACTTCCACACAGCTTCAACCAATGACCAGATTCTGAGTTTTAATCCATCTGGGTGACATAATCTGTTTCAAATTATGTTTATTTGTCAACATGAGCCAAAAATAAAGAGAAAATATATGAAAGGAAATGAGCTGTGTGATAGTTTTAGGACACGCCCTTTATGCAGTTCATTTCAAAATGTTTTCATTGTCTGATAACACACACACACACACACACACACACACACACACACACACACACACACACACACACACACACACACACACACACACGACTGTTGGAACGTCCCTGCATCACTCATAGCCTGTTTGTTTCCTCACACATCTGTCTACCTCACCACTCAACCTTATTTACTTTCTGTTTGCTTTATCGCTGTGTGTTTTATAAACATTGTTTTCATATAAAGCAGCATTTTAGTTTCTGTTTTATCAGCCGCTGGCATGAAAACAGAGCTGCCTGCTGTGCATTAACATGTCTTTGTGTTTATAGTTGTGTTTTTGTGCTTCATCTTTCAGCCTTTCAAACAATAACCCTTTTTTATTTTCTGATTTTTTTTATTTTGCTTTTTCATTTCCTTTTTGCTTTTTCGTTTTCCTGTTTCAGATGGCAACAGAGATCAACTCCTCCTAACTTTCTAATAAATACATCGGCTGCAGATGTATTTAATGTGCTGCCGATGTCAGCCTCTCCTGTTAGCTTTCCTCTGTGCCTCTTTCTGTGTCCTGCATTTGGCAAAAAGGTGTAACTTCCTCTCTTTCTCACAATTTCTCATTTTGCTGGACAGTCACCAAATCCCCTCAACTTCCCTCCTGGACCCTGATGATTAAGAGTTGCTTTAGTTGGTTGAATCCTGACCTGGTTAGCTTTGAGCTTGTGCCACAGACTACAGAGAGCTTTGAACAAGATTTTCCTCGTATTTTCACTGTTACATCTGAGAAGAAAGCTATAGTTATCTACCTCCGCTCGTTCTCCTGCTCTCCAGGATCTTCCTCTGGTTGTGTCTCGACCTCAAAATCAGCATCATAAAACCTAAATGTTGAGAGGGTGAAATGCCAGTTTCTCTAGAAGCAACAAATTGTGAGAACCCCCCCAGCCCAGTGAGAGTTCTGATTTGGGTTTGATGCCCCTTCCCTTCACCCCACTTCTCCTCCCCGACAGCAGCCTCGTCTCGGTGGCCGACGAGAACCTGACTGCGGAGGAGAAGGAGCAGAGGGAGCGGGATCGGCGCCTAGCGAACAACGCTAGGGAGCGAGTGCGCGTGCGCGACATAAACGAGGCCTTCAGAGAGCTGGGCAGGATGTGTCAGGTCCACCTGCAGAGCGACAAGGCCCAGACCAAGCTGATCATCCTGCAGCAGGCCGTTCAGGTCATACTGAGCCTGGAGAAGCAGGTGCGAGGTAGGTCAGCCAGGACAGGAGGATCTGTTTTACAAACGTGCGGCTGGCGTAACTCCCCTCCTGGGAAATCTGTTCTGTAACTCTGCTCCCACTGCCTGCAACACTCGTGTTGGCTCTGTCACTTTAAATATGAAGAAAGGAGAGGAAGAGGAGGAAGTATATCCCTGCTTTCTGCCAAACACTTGCACTTCCCTTTTCCCTTCTTTCTCTTCTCTCGCTTTTTCTTCAATGTTCTAATCTAAACTGTGTTTTTTTCATGGCTTTTTACCATGTTTGTGTTTAAAAGCTTTTATTTGTTTTGAAGAGCGTAATTTGAATCCAAAAGCCGCCTGCCTGAAGAGGAGAGAGGAGGAGAAAGTTTCGGGTCTGCAGCTCGGTGGAAGTCACGCTGCTCTGGGAGGGGATGGACACAACCCTGTGAGCCATATGTAACTCTCAGGTCTGTCTGCAGAATCTGTATGTGTCAGAAATCACCTTTTATTACAACTAATCACTTTTCCCTCCTTTCTTTTCCAGCTCTTTTGGCTCGTACAGCTCTTAGAACACGTGGCCTTATCTATCATTGTCGTGTCATCTCAGTGTGTGTTCAGCAGCTTTTGGGAAACACACACACACACCTCGTAACTGACAAAGCAGGTGGCCACATTCCTGGCGCAGTATAACACATCGCAGCAGAAGAGGCACATGAAATTAAAAATAAAAAACATTTCTTGATCTTTACACGATGATGCTTTGAACTGAAGACGCTGCTTTTGGAGTCAGCGGAACTCGCTTTTACACACTGGGAGCAAAACTTATTTGGATCAAAAAACTTTGGATCAATTGCTCATCTGAGTGACTTTACATTGCTGAATAGTATTGGCATTCCCATCAGAGAATAATGCGATCTTACATTCTTCCCGAGCAAAGAGGGATGATTTATATACTGCGATAGAACAAAACCTGTTTATTCATGCCTTGTTGTTAGATTTGACGTTTATTGTTTTCATGTAACGACTGAATTACTGAAGTTTAGAGACTTTTCTGCCACTGACCGGTCTGTCAAGAATACCTGCTTCCTCTTTTTGATACGCTGGGATTTCAGTCCGTTTTTCTTCAATTTTGTTGAAGTGGCTAAAAAGAAAGGAAAACAAGTTGCCACATTTCGGACTCACTTGTGCACTGGGGTGATTTATTTTTTATTGCTTGTCTCAGAACTTTGGATCCCAGAGTCTTGTCTCTTGAAGTCCTTTACATCAGTTATTTGTCACTGCCATGCAAGTGGAATGGACCGACTGCCAGGAGAGACGCAACCCAACAGAGCGAGGCTGGAGCACGGGCCTCGCTGTCAGCCTCACAGCTCGGTGCAAAGTGTCTGAAAGCATCCCTCGCTCCGACATCATTGGGAAATCACTTCCCGCAAGAATCAGAGCTGTTTGCATTTTGATACCGGACACTTATCTTGTACACGTTTAACTAAAGTATTGAAAGGGATCATGAGTGTTACTGCCATGTTTTGACAGAATTCCCTCTGTTGCCACTGACTGACTTTGTTTTGGTTGCTTTGTGTTGAAGCCTGTTGTAAGGATCTTCCTTTTTTTTTTGTTTGTTTGTTTGTTTTTTTACTTTGTAACTTAGTCGTAAGAGTTTTGTTTGTATTGTTTGGAATGCTTTATTTACTTTGTTTACATTGTTTTTAATGTAAGACGACTCAGTTTAGATTCCAGGAACAAAGTCAGGTGTTTGTTTGTTTGTTTGTTTGTTTGTTTGTTTGTTTGTTTGTTTGTTTGTTTGTTTGTTTGTTTGTTTGTTTGTTTGTTTTTGGTGCCAGTTTAGAGATGTTAGAAATGACAACTAATAAGGCTGTAACATCACATGTTGTGATATTGATCTGTTGTTTGAACGCAAACCAGTTGTAAATTGGGCTGTTCTACTATTTGTGACATTTTTTTTAATATGAAAAAGTTTTATTAGCGCAGCCCCGCCCCCTCTCCTCTCCCAGCGTTCTGACGAGCTTGTTTATTAGTTTGAGAAGTTAAGAAGGGGGCGGTCTGTAGCAAATGTTTGTTTCATTATGAGATAAAGCATAAAAAAGGATTTAAAAGAGGTGGCCTTAGTCATTTTTCTGACATGAGGAGTTTTGATAATGGTTACTCACCAGTGCCTGAACATGTCTTTGCTTACATGGTGGATGATGTTTCATTCAAGGTTTTGTAGGTTGTCTTTTTGCAATACAAATATTTTGTTTTTGTTTTGTTTTAAAGCCCTATATTTCATTATCATCTATAATATGAAGAATTATGCTCAGTGACTTCTTCTGTGCTTGTGTCACGAGTCATAAGTTGAACATTGTTGACAAATTTGATGCCGAACATTGTATTTTCATCTTTTTTGTCGTCATTTTTGCCTCAAATTGGTGTGTGTGTAATAACATACACACCTGTATGTCTGTCAGCTTCATCACTGGAAGCCGGTTACTGATGTGGAACAGTTTTCATCATTTCATCACAAATCCTGGCCAGCAGACAAACCCAGAAATGACATTTCAGTTCCTCAAACTGTGATTTGTAAAGTCACTTGTAAAAACTGGATTTTTGTCCATGAATTATGTTTTTGCAGTAACCTTGTCTCTAAATTCACACCTTCTGCTCACAGACTCTGTTCTCATGAAAGATGACCTGCTACAGATCTCTGTCTTCGCTCATGTTTGGGGACAACATCTATGTAGGGTTTGTCCTCAAAGTGCCTCCAGTTTCCTATTTTTTTATATACAAAGTAGATGTTGAGAACTGTTGTGTATATAACAGTAATGTAGCAATAAATGTACCATTTTTAAGAACAACCTGGTTTTCTTTTTTTAAATAATGGAAGAAACCTGAATTTAGTTTTCTCAAGATAAAGCTGGACGCAGTAATCCACATAAACCTCACGTCAAATGTGAAATCATAAGTTCCTGATAGATGGAGCAGCAACCAGACTGGCGTTTTTTTAAAGAGTGGATTCAACCTGGTGCTTTTGTGCCCCATTTGTTGGTTCAAAAATGTATTCTCACTCCCAGCAATGAGACCAGTACATGTAAACTTTAGGAGGAAGGTCACAGGATCATCTCCCAACCATTTTTTTATTTTATTGAAAATAATGTACAATACAAGTAAATAAAGCTTTATTTATAGAGCACTTTTCATATAAATTATTTCACAAAGTGCTGTACAACACAAAATACAACAATGCAACATTAAACATGGAGCCATCAAATATTTCCGTCCCAAAAATGTATCAGTAACAACATTGAGCCAAGTAAGAAGAGACAACAATTAAAAAAAACATATATAACAGTGTTTTCCCCATTAACTTAATAAAAATAGCAACAATAAGGATAAAAAATTCTAGAAAAAAATCCTGAAAAAATTACCAGTGCTAGGCATTATTCATACAATATTGATGCTGATGTTGTTTTAGCAGCCTATATTTGTAGTGTTTAATGTTACTAAGGTAAATTTCAAATTCCTAATAAAATACAAAAGCATGCTTACACAAGAATTTAAATTTATGTATGTAGAACTTTGTAATAATAATAATGAGTAAGTTAATTATTTAAATGTCATTTCCCATTGCATTGTCACCTGCAAAAAGTAAAAATGTGCTCATAAAAAACTGTTGCTAGCCTTCATAGAAGTGGATTGTCATGAAATGAGTAAAGTTATTCAAGAATTTCTTGGTGAATGAGCAATGCCAAAAAAGATGTGGAGCACTGGATCATCTCCCAGCCTGAGATCTTTCTGTGTGGAGTTTTAGGAATTTAGAGAAGTTGGTGAAGATGGATGATTTTAGAGGTGGAATTCCAACAATGGTTGTTAAAAAGACATAAAAGTGGTCGATGAATGTGTTGAGGATGAATTTCAGCTACATTCGCACCAAATTTACCCAAGTTTGAGCGAAGAGTCAATGCGTGATGGTGAATGTGTATTTGCTGCCATCTAGTGGACAAAAAGAAGTTACAACTTGTCCCCCGTTTATAAAGGCGAATTCAGCCGCACTGAACTGTCGTGTTGTGTCAAAACAAGACTGTAAAAATGACAGTGTCGCAGGCGCAATTTGTAATTTATGTTTTATAATTATGTTATACTTTATTGTATGTGTGTAAAACCCATTGAGTTGAACACATACCACAGGTAGTACATTTCCATTGTAAACCCGGAATTTTATTTTGTTTAAAACCGGAAGTATTTCTGTCGACACTCGGAAGTTAACTATTGAAGCAACCAACGCGTCTTGTGTCTAAAGGACATCTGACAACCAAAATGATTGAAAAACTTATAGGTGTTAGGAATGCGAGCATCGCCAAGACATGGTAAGATATTTTTTAATCGTAAAGGCGAAAAAAAAAAAAGAAAGAATTAGGTGAGCTGAACTTCGACGTAGGCTAGCTAAGGATTAGGCTAGCTGTTAGCTTAACTGAGGTCATATCTGTGTTGACGTCGGTGACTTTAGCCTCACAGCTAAACATGGATAAAATGGTTGAAGTGATTGCAAGTGCTCATTTATTTATTTATTTTACTTTTCTCAACGCAAAATCACAGGGTACGTGTTTTCAAGCCATTTTCTTTTTTTTCCGTAGGAAAAATGAGCTAGCTCGCTAAAGGGGTACATGTGTTTACAAATCGTTTCAAGTAAAGACCCCAAAGTCAAGTATCGATCTTACTTAAAACTGAAAAATGCAATCATGTTTTAATACATCATGTATCTGTAAAACAGTAAAAAGCAATTAGGGTTTGTTAACAACAAAAATACAGGACCACAAAACTATTCAGAAATAATTTGATCATTTTTAAAACTTAAAAGAGACGGGCGTTTTTCTTTTTCTGAGTTTTTAAGAAAATATGCGAGAGCTTGGATCAAAATACTTGAGATATAACAAGTCTAAATTTGCCCACCATGAATCAACAGTAGTATTTATAACAGCTAGATTAATAGAATTGAATGTGCTGCCTTGTCAGATCAGCTCATATTTGTGTGTTGTGTGACAGTAACTCACATTTTGATGCAAAAACTCTCAGACATACTAAAACTGTTGGGTTTGAGTGTGTCAACTGATCATTTGAGGCCTTTTGCAGTGATCTGCATTTTTAATTTCCCCCAAAACATAAACAGTTTTTCAAACAGCTTCTTAATAGTTTTTGTGAGCTTAAACATCAACCATGAAATGATTTAATCAATTATTTTTACACAGAAAAATATTCCAGCTGATAAGTCAGCCATTTTTTAATAACGTAATCTTTTCCCTAGATTTCTCTGTAGATTTGTGTTTTGACCTCAATCCCTGTTCCCCAATATTGTTGAAGATTTTGTTGTTGTTGTTTTCACCTTTAATACAAATAAATAAACTTGTCCCAAATATTTTTTTCTTCTTGCCAGGGCACCCAACATGGCCACTTGGGGCGCAGCTTCTTTGGTGAGTGTTATCTACTTCACGGACTGGAAGCTGATTTTGCAGTATGTTCCCTACATCGGTGGCAAATATAAGGAGGATGACGAGTGATGGCCAGGTCAGTCGAAGGGATGACATTAAGGTACTTTCAACAAAAGGTTTGTGATTCAGGCATTATTTTGTTCTCACGGCTCTGCAGGACCTGTTGAACATTTTCTGAGCCGCATCTTGGTGTCCAGAGACCAGAGCAAAGACTGTTTTAAAACTTTATTATCTATTTTAATTAAATGGTTTGAAAGAACTAACTAAATTATTTAAAACTGTAAAACATGTTGATGATGACTTTTCTTTGGAAACAGTTAAAGGGATCCATGATCAGTTGTAACATTAGACTTTATTTGATAAACATTTATTTTACTGTAAAATAAAGACTGTAAAAATACTGTAGGCTGTTTAGTTTTGTAATTTTTTAAAGTATATTTTAACACAGACAGAGCCATTTTATTTACACACGAAGCATTCTGGATAAATGATGATGTGGATAGGTCCTCAGTGTGAGCGAGCTATATCCACCCTGAAGGTTAATCTTGGACAATATCTGATGATCGACTCTTTTAAATGAAACCAGAGAGCGTTGACAGAGAGGAGAAGGTAGAAATGACTCAGCCTGGAACTGAAAATATGGATGGAGGACAACAGAGCTGCTTCATGGAAGAAGAACCTCAGTTTAGCCTGTTAGCCTTCACACTAGCGCCGACACTAAATTGCCTTATATGTATTGGCTCGACGCTAGCGCGTCAAACAAGCTAAACTGAGGTCCTCCATCCATATTTTCAGTTGCAGACTGAGTCGTTTTTGCATTCCCCCCTCTGTCATGTGGATGGAGGACCTCAGTGACGAGGGGAGAATGTGTAGCGCTGAGCTAACACATATATATGGTGATAGTGCCGGGGCTAATGCTAAAGCTAACAGGCTAAGCTGAGGTTCTTCTTCCATGAAGCAGCTCTGTTGTCCTCCATCCATATTTTCAGTTACAGGCTGAGTCATTTCTACCTTCTCCTCAATTTGCCTGTAAATAAAATGGCCCCGTCCATGTTAATTCAATTCAAATAAAAAAAATACTTTATTGATCCCAGAGGGAAATTAGGTAAAAATATATTAAAATATATTTTTAAACTTTTAGTTTAAACAAATTATACAAATTAAACAGCCTACAGTATTTTTACAGTCTTTATTTTACAGGTCAAATAAATGTTTATCAAATAAAGTCTAATGTTACAACTAATCATGGATTCCTTTAAGAGCTTTTCGTCTTTTTTTCCTCTCTTAGGTTGGCGCTGTTGTTTTTGCGTTTCTTGTGTTTTTAAAATGAAGACCTGCCGTACATAAACAACGTGAATTGTGGAAGCCTGTCCCTTGAGTTGTGGTTCCTCTTCGCAGAAGATCTCTGAAGTCTCCAAACAGCAGTTCAGGCAGCACCAATCAGTGACCATCATCACCTGCTGAAATGCATTCTTGTCATTTTATTACTACCAGTAAAGACATGATGGGAACAAACAAATGACAAATGTGCTTTTGACTTCTTTTTTTGGTCAGTTTGAAGACATTTGGTTCACAATTTATGTTCTGTGGGTCATATTTGATTTCTAATTATACTATGGAGAGACAAAGTAAAGTATGTTATTCATCTATTTGGTTTCTGTCTAATTATTTTTGTCTAACTCATGTATACCACCCTGAAGATGATTAAACTGCTGTTCGTTATAGCCCTGTACTGATATATGAAGTTTATTACAATTTATTAATGACTCATCTTATTTGTTTTAATATGGCTTTAGCTAAACATTTCTTCTTCTTCTTATATTATTAATATTATCATCATCATTATCATCATTATTATTACCTCCATAACTCTACAACAAGTCTTGTTAGGTCAGAAAGGAAATATGTAAAGAGACTACAATTAGCCCTTAAATCAAATTATTCAAATTAGCAAAATTAATAATGATCGCAAAAAAAGACTTAATTTTTTATGGAGTATAAATGTCATGAAAGCCATATATTGCTGCTGCAACAGTATTGCAGCATATTTTTAAGCCCATACAACCAAATACAAATAAAATTTTAAAATATTTTTTATGTGTGTGTTAAATAGAAACAGTAAAATGACAATTCTAGCTTTTTATTTTGTTGCACTCTGACAGTGCAGTGTTCAAACATGTCCTGAAGCGCCAGGACTAGTTTACAGTCTGGCGGCGCATGGATTGCAGTGATTAACTTGTCATCAGTCTGGCGGAGTAATCTACAGTTGTTAACCTCCTGACAGCAAGTGTCGACAGCTTAGCTGACTGGAAATTCAGGACTGCAACAACAGTTTGATAGCTTGGCGTTCATTATTCCTTATCATTTCAACCACCAGAAGAACGAGCAAGCAAAGGAGTACCACCGAGACCATGGAGCGAAAAAGGTGAGACTTTCAAATGACGGCTGCGGAGTTGTCGAAACAACACACGACGAAATGCACGCACACACGCAGATGTAACGTTGTCTTCAAACAGTCATTGGTTAAACAGGTTTGCTTTTATTTACTCTTTAGCGGTTCTGTGTGAACAAATATGTTGCGGTCTTTTTGGTTTTGTTACTTTTGGAAGCTGGCAACTTGAAATGGTCATAGTTTGGTTCATCGCACCGGACGCTGCTAGCTTGATTAGCTAGCTAAGTTTCATTGTTTACACACGCTTGACTTGCAGCGCGCGGGCCCTGGTGTTCAGACACATTTTGTTAACGTCAGATTCTGTGACCCCGAAAATCTAAACTTCCTGTCGTGGCTTTTTGTGTAATTCTTTTGATGCTATTGCTGTTTTTAATTACTATGTGAAGCTTTCTTTTTTATTCTAGGCACATTTTAAAATGAAGTTATATGAAAAATGAAACTAATATGATCACATTGTTATGTGACAGACACTGAAGTATGGCACCTGGTGTTAAATGCTGTTGGATGCACTTCAGACCTATGAACGGTCGTTTTTTTTTTTTTTTTTTTCTGCACACTTGCGAAATCTTGATAGATCAGATAAAGTTACTACGTTTCACAAACTTTGTGTTGGAAACAGCAGAACCAAAAACATAACTAAAAAAAAGGCTTTTTGTTTCTCTAAAATGTTATCTTGATTTGCATCTCAGCACAGAACTCCAGTTAAATAACTTCAGAAAACTCTGACTACAGTGACATAGTTCCTAAATGTTTACTCATTAAGAATTATTTTTTTGTTTTTAGAGAATAAAAACAAAACACTTCTGTGACACCAGTTTTCTCTGTTCATCTTTTCAGTTTACCAGTGAAGCGCATTCTCAACAAGACCCAGATTTTTCGCAGCGACCTTCGCACTGATGTGAACGCCAGTCACTCCAGAGCTGGTCGTTCCCTCCAGAACAAAGTGCAGCGGAGCAGGCACAAGCATCTCTACGACCTTAACCATCAGATCAGAGTGAGACGTTTCTTCGTTGTAGACGTTAAGTAGCAATGATTTAGTTTTTTTATTGTATTCATCATGCATGGCAGTCAGTGATTAATATTCAAGAAAACATGTTTTTCAAAATAATTAATGAAACAAAAAGTGTAACATTTCTCAAAAGTCATTAAAAAGTAGATATTTCATGTGATACGTTGGAAAAAAAAAATTGTGATGCACCACCCCACACCACTTCCTTGCTCACACACACTTCAGGGTATTTTATACTTAGTTATTTTACTTCCAGTTGAATCATCTTGTGTTTGTTGTGTTCACACTGGTCGTCAGTATTCCAGAGGTCCCCAGCCCTGTTTCTCATGGCCCACTGCCCTGCACGTTTTAGCCGTTTTCCTCTTTCAACACACCTGATTCAAATAATTTAATTACCTACTCAGAATGTTATCAAGTTTCCCATTAGTGACTTGTTCATTTCAGTCATGTGTGTTGAATCAGGGAAACATCTAAAACATGCAGGTCTGTGTGCCACAAGGATCAGGGTCAGGGGACCTTTGTTGTGGACTGCACTTCCACATATCTGAGTTCTACTTTTTTAGCTGTTAAATAGCTACATTTTGTTGTGTGCTTGCAGTCTCTAGGAGTACATAAAAGTTGAATTTAGTTTCTCCTGGTGCCTCAAAGATATCTTTACATTCTTTTATGGTCATATTTTTCAACCCATTCAGTTTTCTATATTTTCTGAGCTATTACGTCACAGTATTTGCAAACAACTTTCTAAATAAGGTCTGGATTTACTGTACCAACTACAGTTTGGTCATCTTCATTCTCTTCTGGCTCTGGGTCAGACTGTGGCTCCAGCCTATAAGACTGGATGGACAAGTCTTCCCTTGTTGACATATTTTAATTAATTTGTAAATAAAATGTTTCTGTGCTGCCAGGTGGGAAGCTGGGGGGTTGGGGGAGACCTGATTTATAAGCTTTTTTAAGAACCAAAAACCGATAACTTTCTCCTTCTAACGGCAGATAACCAATAACATGCCAGGAGATAAGACTAGTCAAAAATGGGTAAGATCATAACAAAAAGAAACAAGACCAAATCCAAATGACACTGTAAATTATACTATTTGAAATAAACTCTTAGCAAACAAATATTTATTAAAATATATCAAACAAAACAATTTCTCAAATGGACATTTTTTTTAAACAAGGCACATTAATTATAAAAAATACCTTTAACACTGGTCTCAGATTTAAACAAATAAGAGAAAAGGTCATTCCACAAGTTCAAAACAGATAATTTACTAACACAAGTTATTAAGTTTTTATTATTATTATTATATGATTTAAAACATTTTTTCTACCTGAAACAGCTTCTGAGAGAGTGTGAATGCATCACAACCGCATCATACTCACAGGAAGACAGACAGAGGGAGCGACTGTTAAGCACGGTAAACTGTGGTTAACAGGTAATAAAAGCTTCGGTCTTTAACAAGGGTGAACGGCTGGTTGTCAAGTTCCATCATTTCCATCGTTACAGTGCTTAAGATCTGCCTCCTCTGGCAATTTTTTTTTAATTTGTCCCAAGCCTCAGCAATGATTTAAGTCCCGATGAGTTCTTGAACGCTTGAACACTCATACCATAGGCACGTTATGACAGAAAATTTTAGTGGTTTTCAAACCCTGACTTTGTCATATCACGGTATACCATGAAACCGGTATTTGGCCCATGCCTAGTTGTTCTGACCTTTTTTATGTTAATAATTATAAAGTTTGTGTGTAACATACATGGTTAATTGGTAAAATAATATTAATATTTCTTAAAATGACTGTTTGTTTGTTTTTCAGCACAGAGTATTTTAATTATTGTTCTAGTGAGAAAGTTGTTTTTTCCGGCGCAGCTTTGAACGTTGCTCGGGTCGTGCAGGACGGGAAGCGGCTTGACCAAAAAGGATAAAAATAAACATGCGTTCTCATCACCGCTCTGGCAGACATGTACATATATCATCAGTTCTGTTTGTTATGATATCGGACCGACGAGTATCGCGCACCCCTAAAAGGAATAGCATCAAAATGAGTTGATCTGAGACACACCTCAGACAACGAGTGAACTAGGGGCTGGTAAAGTTAAAATATGGAGGAATTCAGACCAAAGCATTGCAGTTCCACTTTATATCAACCCAACTGGATAGATAAAATGTGAAAAAGGAGGATTTAAAAGCTGGATATGTTTACTTTAACATAATAGTTTGGAATCCTCTGTGTCCAAAATGCAATACACCCAAAAACAAACTTTACCTCCACATCTATTAATAAAAATTATAAGAAACGTTCTTGTATGTCTTATATTTTTATAAAAGTATTCATGAAAAAGATACCCAAAAATCTGTGCATGTAGACACTTGGGTTTTCTTAACAGACCTACTCAGGACTAAGTTAAGGTAACTTGCTAGAAAAATAAAACACTAATTGTATGAAATGAGTCATTTGCATTGACAGTTCTATAGCATTGTTTTTTTGTTAATGTTATGAATTTCATCAGTCATTGTAAAGGGATAATACTCCACTTCAAAAAATCCAAACAAATATTAAAACTCAACAAGCATTAAAGGTAAAATAAAAAGACAAAAACCTATTACAAAAGCTCTCTCCTAGATATAAAATGTGTATAAATAACAATAAAAAACCCTCTTCCTTCTCCAGGTTGTGAAGTCCTTCAGAAAAGACTGTACAATGTTGTCAGAGTCCCAACGTGCCCTCTGGAAAAGTCATTAAAATATCATGAGACTTGTTCACTTATTCACTGTGACCTACATAATAAAAATGTTCAATCATTTTTTTCTTGTAAGTAGTATATTTAGATTTTTGCATGTCCATTTTCAGAGTTAAAATCTTGACATTAGTTACCATTTAACATGTGATTTGAACTCCAGTGTTAAATCTTGCCATTTATTTTTATTTATTTCACTTTTCCAACAGTGTGTTGCTGCATTTGTCACTGGTAACCCTTCCCCCACAGAGATAGTTTTCTTGTATACTAGTGTGTGCACTACTAGAAGTGTCTTGAAAAACTGACCTAATTACATTTTTTTAAATCTGTTGTTAAACTAAAGTAAATTTTTTTTACCTTTTTACGTAGTCGGGCATTATAATATTTGTACACATTTCCATAAATAAAAAAACATGTTTAAACACTAACCCTGATTTGGTACTGGCATCACTAATAAGGCAGTAGTTCAGTCATACATATTTATACAATTCTCCCTAATATTTTATGTTTTGTCATTGGGTGAAAAAAAAAAAACAAGACTCCATGTTGTCTCTCCTGCAGACCAAGCCTGATTTAAACACAACACTACCAGTTCGACAAACAGCTTCCATCTTCAAACAGCCAGTGACCAAGATAACAAATCACCCCAACAACAAAGTGAAGACTGACCCTCAAAAAGCTGTGGATCAACCGAAACAAGTAACTTCAAATTATCATCTTTTAAATTCATTGCAGTTTAAATCATTTCTCATCTGCTGCAGTCTTGTTGTAATATATGGTTATTTTTACAGTATAGTAGTAATTTGTCCCAATTTAAATACCTGTACATTCAGTGTATTAAGGTATATTCTCCTAACCTGAGTTTGTGTCTCGTTAGCTGTTTTGGGAGAGGAAGTTGAGCGGGTTAAATGCATTCGATATCGCAGAAGAGCTGGTGAAAACTATGGATCTTCCAAAAGGCTTGCAGGGTGAGCGTAACTGTAAAAACACACCTGTGTTTATAGTTCAAAATGATTTTTCTCCCAGGTTGACCTTAGCTGTCTGTGTTTCTTTCTGTGTAAAGGTGTTGGTCCTGTGTGTTCAGACAAAACGTTGCTCTCTGCCATCGCCAGCGCCCTGCACACCAGCCCCGCACCTATCACCGGCCAACTCACTGCTGCAGTGGAGAAAAACCCTGGCGTCTGGCTGAACACGGCACAGCCTCTCTGCAAAGCCTTTGTAGTGACTGATGATGACATCAGGTAGGAGTGATGAAGGCTATAAATACAGACAAATTAGTTTTAAAGGTTGTTTGTGGCACATCCTTTATATAAAAGAGGTAGCAACAGGTCAAATACACTTTCTATGGTGACTATTAGTAAAGCTCATGGTTGCACATCCAACAGAGAGGTAGAGCAACAGAGTGGGTCTCTTTAATTACTAAGTCTCAATTAAAACTATGCACTTGTGAAAATATTTCTGTTTATAAATAGAAAGTAGGTGCCAAATAAGATCACACAGTTGATATCTTCTTACACATTGTAAGAGTTTAAGTATGCAACTTATAAAATGAAAGGTTGTCCTGTCAAATGATAAAGTTTAAAAAAGTTTACTCCAGTAATATTAAAAAAATGTTAATATGCAACTCTGAAATGTGGGTCCACTCTTAATGTAAACAAAGCACTTGGCTGAATCCACCAAAAACCACATTGAAATTTGAGTCACATGATTGACCTATGTCAGGCTGGCTGTAGCCTCTGTAGGTCAGGGAAGTGAATAAGCTTTAAATCCCAGAGAAGAAGTTCAGGTGGAAATATGGGGGTTAATATGCTAAATGTGGGGGGAGCAAGTTAGACAACTGTCAAGAATAAATGTCAGGGATCAATCAGTGGTGGAGCGCCATAAAGACGGATCTTAGCATTCAAACACTGTCTTTGCTAAACTTCTTCTAGACCGATAAGTTTATTGGTTCAACCTGACTTTTTTTGTTTTTTAATCTGTAAACTTGAATCAACAAAGTGTAAATACATACTAACACATCCAAACTGTTCAAATTCTTGATCCCAAAGATGTTTTTATGGACATCACCATTGTTGACCTAGTTTCAGTCAATTAAACTGTTTCTGAAGGTAAACAAACACACATGGTGGTTGGCAGTTGATCACAAACTTTGACACTAGCTGCATTTCCATTGACCATGAAAATGCACAAATTAGAATTTCGAAAATAAATTTGCTCAATGGAAACACGTCAATTTTGGAAAAACTTAAGTTTTTCGACAAAATGGTTTTGCGCTAGGATGGGGTGGTTCTTCGGCTGTATCGAAATTGGTGTATTTTACAAAACTGCAATGGAAACACTTTTCGCATCACAGGAGTCACGTGATCAAGAACTGGATGCTTCTACTGGCGAAAAAGACGACGAAGAAGAAAACAGGAAGTTGTCACAGTGCCCTGAGACAACAGTTGTTGTGACATGGCGCTATATAAATGAAATGAATTGAAGTAGGAAGAGAAGTAGAAGTAAAATCACCGAAGTTGTAAAAGAAAGTATTAAACTCACCAACTACAATTTCCCAATTGTACGTAGCCGCTCCCAAGTATAAGGGGCTTGTCACTCGAAAGCCTCCATAAGACGCCGACGTCTCCTCTAATGGAGGATGATGAGCGCTAGTGTCGTGGTAGCAATATGCATGTGTTTACATCCATTGCCGCCATGTTTGTAATGACTTATCGCAAGACCAAACATATTCACGTGACTTTAATAGCATTTCTTACTCAGGGCTCTAGAGTGTGACCAATTTGGTTGCAAATGCGACCTAATTTCCTAATAGTGCGACTAAAAAAAGTCCGGTCACACTGGTGCAACCAGTCTTTCAGTGGGGAGGAGGAGCGGTCGCCCGCTGAAACTAAAAGTTTCCATGTTCCATAAAACAAATCAATCCAGCAGTATCAACAGTCACCTGCCGACACAGTCTCCATGTCTCCTAATAACACTGCCCTCTGCTCGCAGGCTCCGCGCGCGCACAAACGTTTGTTGTTCTATCCTCATGGGGACTTTGCATTGGCTTCCATTCATTTCCCAGCCAGTTCTATAGCCAACCATAACCTCCCAGGTAGAATACACACCTGACCCAAACCCTAACCTCACCAAGCTGTGTGTACCGGGGAAATGGTCAATAATTTTCCCCATCACAGAGCAAAAACACACATGCGTGCGCGCACATGCATAGCAAAACAACCATAGTTTTTTGTTGGTTTTTTTTTCACCCAGATCGGAGTCTGAAAATTTTGTTTTTCTTTTTAACTGTGGAGATGAAAAGAAGATGTGGACGGTTGCTCGCTTTTAAGTCCATATTGCTATTTTAACAGTTGGGGTCTACTCTGAGCAGCAGATCATTTCAGCAGGACGAGGAAGCTCATATGTATGGCAGGCCGCTTTTGCACTTAATCGACTTCGCCACAGTTACAAGTATCTGAAATAGGTTCTTCTGGGTCACAGGAGGATAAGACTAGACATATTAGATATTTTAGTGAAATAATAGAAGATAATAGGATTCAACCAATGCTAATGAAATTGCAGATTTTTATGTGTTTTGTTATTTTAAAAAAAAGCTGCACAACGTTTTAATAATATTTCAGTTATTAATCATTATGCTCTGTTCATTATTCTGGTTTATCCAAGGCCAAAGAACCATAGGGCCAAACTACAGGAGTTGTCCATCTGAGGGACGTGTGTCTAAAAGAAATTTAACCATGAAATGTTTTAGATGTTCGGCTCTTAAACATTTGCACTTAGAATTTTATAGAATCACTTTAAATACTTTTCAGTAAGTTATAGGTCTTGTACAGTTCTGGTTCAAATAAAGAACTTTATGTTTACTAGATTGTTAACTAATTATTTTTGAGTTAATATTGCCTTAATGAACAGTGATTTTAAAAACCCTGTAAAACTCTGAAATGGGACGTGGTTGAAAATTTTGGTGCACCTAACTTTGTGCTGGTGCACCTAAGAAAAAATGTTAGGCGCACCGGTGCAACCAGTACAAAAAATTAGTCTAGAGTCCTGTTACTTAATGGAAACACCGCAATTGCGAAACTGTGTTTTTTTTTTTTTTTTACATTAACAGGATATCAACAAAGTTTTGCGCACATTTGCAATGGAAACRCAGCTATTGTAGAGGTGCTACTTCTTCACCAAACAGTTGATCAAATGCTAATCTGTCTTGTTGTGATAGCAATGGCGTGGTGCAGAAAAGCATTAAAGATTTTTTGATTAAGTGCTGCTTTTCTAGTGGTCGTTAAACCTACGGACAGTTGTTAATGTCTGACTGTTGTGGGGAATATAAAAGTGTTCAATCGGCATCAGACGACTCTGCATTAGTCACGGTTCACTTTCAGCTCTGGCTTTGATCATCGCTGATGACATCCTAAAAATCAAGGCAGCAATTTTCACCGAGTGTTCTTCGCTGAAGTCATCAAGAGTGGACACAACTTCCCACATTTACTGACTAACCTCTTACAGTCAATTAGACTGGTCTGTTTTATCAGGCTACAAACTCACGCTCTGTCTCACTGTTTGTATTCTAATCAAATGTGTAGGAAAGGAATTTTTTCAGGAGATTTTTCATGGATACTGTAGATCACATCTTTGTCTCCTGGGATGATGTGACAGTTACTGAACACAACACTGTCTTGTGACTTTTTAGAGTTCTTAGCAAACTAAGGGGAAACACAGTACAGTTAATGAGACGTATTAATTTGACTAAAGTAAACAATCTGAAATAAGAAACTGACTTTTTGTAATGAACCTGTAAAATTATTATGACTATTCCAATTTTTACTGTTATTAATCACTCTATCATTAATCAGTTGAGTCAGAACAGATTATGACATTGGTTTCAGTACAATTGTGTTTATTCTCATTTTTATTAGGATTATTTTAAAATTTTGTCTTGTTTTCTCCTGCGCTGAAATGAGCATTAAGTTGAATTATTTTGCTCAAACAATAGAGGAGCACAGTTTTGTCAACAAAAGCTGATTTTTATTAGTAGTTATTTTCCTTACAGGGTACATTAAACTAAAAGTCAACTGTGACGGACAAGTGTCCTGTAAGGCAGGAATAGATTAACTAGTTCTAATTAGCTGACTTTCAACCTGACTCAGTCATGCTCACTTATGGTGGATTCACACCAAACACATTTTGAGCTGAAGGAGCAGCCAGTTTACATGCTAAGTCTATGGTGGACGTGCTCTAGGGGTCGTGCGTCGCGTCACCTCCATTTTGGGCGGCGCGCAAGGAACGCAGAAGGTGTGGCAGAGCATTTTCCGCGCATGCGGTGCTGCGGAAGAAACAGACGCCAGAGTTAAAAAATCTGATCTTTTCGCCACGTCTTGACAACCAGTCAGAGAGACTCATTTTTCCACGTGACAGTTTCCTGAATGTTTCCCACTAAACCGAAACAGACGGACAGGAGATCTTTACCTGAAATCGACCGTCTGCAGTTGGATTTTCTGGCAGGATATATCAGTACCGATGTGGGTCAGCTGCTCTGGACAAAAAAAAAAGTCCGTCAGCACGCATCTTCTGGAGTGGCGAAACTAACCGAACAAAATCGCCTCTAAATCATCTGGTGAATAAATTATTTGCTGTGCACAACTTTTGCTTGCTCTTTAGTAAATAAATCAAAGCCATTTTCATTTTATCTTTATTTCACCTGCTGAGGACAGACTAGAAAAAAAAACCAAGACCCTCTTCAGACGCGCGTCTGGTCTATGTCCCGGTCTGAACATAGTGCATCCAGCTGGAGGTGTTGTGCGCTTTTTTGCTGCTCAAAACATGTTCGGTGTGAACGTAGTAGTAGGCCAAACACTTAACCTACTCTAAACACAAATCTCTCTAAAGATGTTGAAGAAAAAATCATCTGTGACTTTTGAGCCACAAGAGGGATCTTATAATTAGTTACACTGTGTGTGTGTGTGTGTGTGTGTGTGTGTGTGTGTGTGTGTGTGTGTGTGTGTGTGTGTGTGTGTGTGTGTGTGTGTG